CTATTTTCGTATGCAACCGGATGTGACGTACTATGATTTGGTGGTATTACACCTAAAGAAGACTTTTTTGTTAAATAAACTGAATGTGACTTTTTTCCTTTGTTATACTGGTTATTTCAAGCATTCCTGTCAAGTTTTGTCATAATCAGTTCAATAGTTTGAGAAAAATCTAGTATAATGTAAGATGACATCTGCAGCAATTCGAGCTAAATTTCTTCGAAAAATCCAAACCAAGCCGCATCATGATAGAATATAGTGTGGACCAATAAATGATCAAATATTTATCTCACCTGCCTACAAACAGTTGAATATGATACAAAAGATGACTTTAGGATGATAAATACTACCAATGGACCTCTTTGTCTTCCTTATAAGGTCTCTCCTGGTCCATTTATACCTCTCATTTCCTCAAAATTTCTACTTTATAGGCCAATAAATAAAAATTTTGGGGTAACTTTCACTCATTTATGATAGAAATGTTATAATAAATGATTAATTGAAGTATTCAAGCTGAATGAACTATCCGTATAAAAGTTTACTGTCTCCAAGGAGGTTTCAATAAGTCCTTACGTAAAACTTAAATTTACGCCGCGTTCCAGAGAGGGACATAAAAAGCTTCTCTTTTGGTGAATAATTTGTTGTTACTGCTTTAAAAATAATTTCATTTACTTAAAACTATATATTTATTAAAGTATTTCTTAGGAAAAATTTTTCTAGTATAGCAGAATATAAGAAAAAAAGGAGAAAAAGCTCCCCAAAACTTAAGTATGGCTTATTCTGTCAACTAATATTCATGGTAAAGTCCTATTTCAAGGAAATTTTCTCATAAAATGTGTTTTGGAGACTCAATCCACTCAGAATATTTCATTATTAGTAATATTTCACTTAAATAGCAAGAAATTTTAACACATGAGAGTACTCACAAGGTCAAAGGTGCATGTACAGCTTCCTATATTAGGTGTAATACCACCATTGATTTTCCCCTATTAGTCTTTGTTAAATTTGCACTTTTCAAAAAATTGTGCAGAATTTATCTTTGTTTCAAATAAAGAAATACTTGGCATGAGTAAAGTTTGATCCTGTCCAGTACTATAGAAAAAATTTTACATAACATTTCATTGCATATAAGAAAATAACCATCACTGGAAGTTAACCAATCAAATTTTCCCCCTTTTCAGAGCTCCAGATAAGCTGCGTATTTGAGTGATCACGCAATACAAATAATTAAAAACCCAATGCAATTGCCCATTGCAGGGTTCAATAACCCAATTAATTCAAAGGAAAACCCAATTATATGCCAAAACCATGAGTTCTTAACGCTTTTATTCGCTATCGTTTGCGTTATTTACCCTTATCTGATTACAGTCGTCGGGTAAATCTATTTTTATAATTTATAATTGGAAATGTCCTTTCGTTCTTAAAATAGAGCCCTGCATCAAGTAGCTGTAATGTGTCCGTGTTGGAATTTTCCGTTGCTCAAAAGGTACACGTGTTTATGAAAACATTTCGATCTTCTCGGCGTTTATCCAATTAGCGTGTGACATGCTGTCATATTTTTTCGAATTGCCCGGGATTTATCATAACATACAATGAATTAAAACGAAAGTAAATGTCCGATAAAAATATTGAATGGAAGCATGTTTTCGGCTTCTTTTTGATAGCTGAGGGAAAGATATGATGATAACAAGACTCAGCTAGTGATTTTAGGAAGCGTCCATTGAACGCACGGGCGTGTTTGAAGGTACGAGAACATTGCTATAGAACGATAAACACGGGGTTTCGTCAAAAACGAAATCAGTTGGAAAAAGTGAAAGGCCAAATCAATTATGACATGATATGAAGTTGGAAAGCATCGGAAACCAAAAGTTCTGATAAGGGACAACTTAACCCAGATTTATGTAAATTGAATTAAACAAAAACAGTTTATATATTTTTTTTTTTTCATTTTAGTTGATGAATGAATACACACATCCGTTTTTTACGTCAAATTATGCAGCTTGACACTTTCTTTGTTTTGGTCTAATTGTTCTGGATGCTTAAGATAGTTGTCTTATTGGCAAGTGCAGTATAACATTGTCATTTATTTACTTGATGTTGCAGAATTATTTGTAAATTTAAGTTGAATGTGGTCTCCATCATTAAACCACCCTATAAATCTCCAGGTTTTGGGGTATATCTTAAATCTGGGAACTACTTTTTATTTTTATTAAAAAGTAGATCTGGCAAATAGGTGAAAGGACTGGCAAAACTTTCTTACAGCACCTAAATTTCACATATATTACATAACAATATAAGCCACACCTACCCCAACTATAAACTGTAGGGTGATCATATGGGATCTAGAAAGGCAATTAGTTACTGTCCAACTAGTGACACCAGCTGCAGTTTACATAAGTTTTGAGAAAATACAAAACTGACAGAACGTTTAAAACGGGACACAAATTAAACGTACAATTGCTCGTCAGTGAATAAACCAAATAAAACAGCTAAGCACAATTACAAAGAAAGAAACACATTTAAGATGGAAACACATCTGGGGTTGATATAATGTGATTATAACATGCCTAAATATTCAATATTGTGTTGATGAAAAAACCCAATACATTAAGGAGCTTGGTGGTGAAAAACCCAATTTGATATTTGCTTGAGGGGTGAATTGGAATTGATAATGCAATTAAAAAACTTTATCACCCAATTACATAAAAAAATGGTGGGTAAAAACCCCAATTTGTGAATTCTTATCTGGAGCTCTGCCTTTTTTAACCTGTATACAAGCTTTAGTAACCATGTAACCTCAAGTTTCCAAAATATTCTATAGAAACCCCAAATAAAAAAATAATGGTGCTTTGAAATACCCAAGATATATGTTTATGACCCAGAAATGTTTTACTGCAATGAAATGTAGGATCAATTACCTACAACTGTCAAATTCAAGGGAATATTTTTTTTCGACCTATTTTCGTATGCAACCGGATGTGACGTACTATGATTTGGTGGTATTACACCTATATGAATGTCACACACATTTTAATCATTTAAATTTTGTAAATACACTGGTACAGCATTGTCAAAGGCGTACGAAATTATAAGGTGTATTACGCCTGGAAATCTGGCGTAAAACAGGCGTAAGTGGTAGTTACTTGTCCAGATCCAGGCGTAATGGAGCAGGAAACGTAAATTTGTAGCACTTACAGGCGTAGAAAAAAGTGGTAAACCTGGCGTAAATTAAAATAAGCAAGGCGTAAATTTTCCTACGGGCCTAAAACTGTTGCAAAGGGGTAAATCATAATACCCATAATGCTTTGTTTAAAGGATCATGGGAAATTTTTTCAAAATTTGGCTCTCTGGTATTAGCTTGCAAGAGTTAGACATATGGCAGCTTGATATGTTCATGGGAAATTTGCTTTTTTGTGCTTTTTGGAATCAAATTGATGAATGAAAATTGTGAAATGAAAGGAAAGTAGTATACATGGAAAATAATAATTATGTGAGTAACTAAGTTATGTATTTTGTATACGCCCGTTTATGGGATGTATTATGGTATACCGTTGTCCGTCTGTTTGTCGTCAACATGTCAGACATTAACTTAAAAACGATTTAACCAATTTGCATGAAACTTTGGTGAATTGTTCATATCTATTGACGTGAGCTCCCTTTAGTTTTTTACAAATTTTGGATTTTACGTTTCCGAGCTATGGGGTTTTCTTCATTAAAAAAGGGGATTATTTTCCATTTTTCGCACAACTCAAAAATGCTTTCATGAAACTTTGGTAAATTGTTTATATCTGTTGTCTTTCGCTCCCATTTGATTTTTAAATATTTTCGATTTTAAATTTTTGAGTTATGGAATTTTATTCATAAAAAAGGGGTGTTTTCTAGTTTTCTGACATTATCTTTAAAGTGCTTTGGGCAGTTTTGATTAAACTATGGTGACTGATTTATATCTATTAAGATAACCTCCCTTTAGTGTTTCATAAATTTCTGATATGGCATTGAGAAGTTATTGAACTTTATTTTTTGAAAATGGGACAGGTGTATCATGTGCTCATGGCACAGCTGTTTATTATTTTTTAACATTAATTTCAAATTCTGGAAACCCTCATCCTTTGATAATAACATTCAAATCTTTCACAAGTTAAAATGCAGTATTATCATTGAGTTTTTAGTTCAAATGAGATTAATTTTTAAAACAACTTAGTCAAAATGCTGGTTTTATTTCAACATGTTCAAGAAAAATTAATTGTCATAATTCTTATTTATAATTAAACTTTTAAACTTATTTGAGCCAATGTCTGTCTAATATGTATTTATTTATATAGCTTCTTCAATGGTTAATATTTCAAGTTTTATTTCAAACAGTGAGAAGTTTAAGCAACAGCACAAGTTTGTATCAAATACACAAAGTACACAGCTAGCCTGTACGCTGATTTAAATTAAGTTTAGTATTATGTAAGGATATTACGCCCGTTTTATTCATTGACCAGACATACTCATTTGCATATTACGCCTGGTTTTCTGTTGACCAGGCGTACTCATTTAAATATTATGCCTAATCTTACGCCTGGTTTCCGCCTCAGTTACGCTTGGTTTCCGCCTGGTTGACACTTGGACATGCATTACAAATTAGATAGATAAGTCTATAAGTCTAAAACTACATGTACATTTGTAAGTTAAACTAGTTCATGCTAGTGATGGAGATCTAGGATCTTCAAATACTTTTTTGTACATGTACATCCTGTAAAAATTTGTTACATCAAGGTACATTAGTACATTCTTGTTATATTGTGGTTATAACATGTAGGTAATTTTCTGTGATTGTGAAATTATTTTTTCTAGGTCTCATATTTCACAAGCTTTTGCAGTAATTATGGAAACTAGTATACAGTGAAATGAAGTACATAGTGAAAATTTATACTTTAAACATAGTCTATTTGATGATGCTTTATACATATATCTTGAAGGCTTATTTTAATGTTTTGACTCCATGTTTTTTGTTCTAGAAAATCAAAACTGAATTATGGAGAACGAAGATGCTTTGCAAAGTGGTAGAATGCCGACTATTGATTCAAAAGACTTTTCTTTGCCTGAAGTTGATGTTCCCAAAAGTGAGGCCAGCAGTGAATATGGATATCTGTCTCAATTTCCTAGAAGCTTAAATTTGTTTCCTTTTTTTGGAAGATATACAAATGTTATCCCAGAGGAAACTGATGGTAAGAAATAGGACATTTCACCTTTTGATAATAAAAATTTTTTTGTATTTCAATGTTTGAGAATGTTTGAAATTAGGTCTGACAACTATCTTTCATGCATTAGTTTACACCTTTGGTTGATGAAAACCACTTTCAGCACAATTGACTATATCACTGCAGCCAGTTATTGGTGGAGGAAGCCGGAGTACCTGGTGAGAACCACCAGCCTTAGGCAGGAAAACTGGAAAATCTAGCCAATTAAGGTGGGAGTTGAAAGCACCTGCCACAAGTGGGGTTAAAACCTTAGTGTTGACAGGATAGTGATCGCTGTAGATGAAAGACCACTTTGTGACAAAAGAAGGGATATCTGGTGGATTTAAAAATGTGTTTGAAACAACAGTCCTATGAAACACCAGATTAGGCAGTGAACTTTTAAATAAGAGCTTACATTTTCATGTCTTTACAGTAATATAAACATGTATCTACCAATAAATATCCTTTTCAATGTAATAAATAAGTAATCTGATTGAAAAAAGATAGTACAAATCTCCCCCAAGTTATTTTACAACAGGAACATTTTCTAAAAGTCCTTCAACATGTTCAATATTCACTAAAATTTTCCATACCAAAATGTGGGCAAGGGCAAAGAAGTCTCTATCCTGACTTCCAAAAGCAAAATTCAGTTGCCTAGGTCTCCAAACAGCAGTAATTTTCCATACCAAGGGCAAAGAAGTCTCTTTCCTGACCGCCAAAAGCCAAATTCAGTTGCCCAGGTGTTCAAACAGCAGTAATTTTCCATTTATATCAAGTTGATGTTACAACAATTTTTTGTTAAAATGTAAAAAATTTCAAACCCTGTGTAAAGGAATAAATAAACAAAAGTAATATAACCATGGAAACCTAACACACTCGTGCTTTCATGGGAACTGTATCTTGCGTAAATTTAATGTATAATTGACAAAAGAAGGGCAAATTTCACATATATTTGATTAACTCACATGTTAAAAATACAAAAGCTGTGAAGACTTCTAGAATTTGAATATAAAAAAGCCTATATGAATTTTATATATACTTTATTCAAATACAAGTCTAAATCTATGCAGCGCCAACACTAACCACAACCACCTTTACAGACCGTCTCGGATGAAATTCTTTTGATTTGACAAATTTAGCCTTCATGGATTGTTATGAAACTTAGAAGCTAATCTTCAAGATCAAGAAAAAACATCTAAAGAAAATGTTTGATATTATTTTATTCTGTGTTTTTGGTGCTAAATTGACTCACTTTTTACAGTCAACAATCATATAAATACACTTTTACACTGACAGCAGCACTCACAGTTGAGACACAGGGTTCCGCAGTACCAGTACTTTTTTACTATCTACTATAGATGAAAATTATGAGATGTGGTTTAATATGTTTATCCACCAAAGACCAAATAAAATTGATTTTAGCAACTTCACCAATGAGCAAAATCCCTACAATATAGTGAGCTTAATTTTGATTTAATCTTGCAGGACAAAAACAATGTCTGCCATATCACAGAACAGGTAGAATTATGCACACAACAATTTTCCCATTTCTGTTTCTCAGCTTTGTACAAAGTGTAAACTAATTTCAGGGATATTTTACAACTATATCTCTTGTGATATGATATTTCATTTGTCTAGAGAGATAAATTTCTAATATTCAAAACACAACATTCTTGCAATATTGCTTTAAATGAATGCAAAGGTTTTTAAAAAAGACATTATGAGTTTGAATATCCATTTGATATCTTCTGCCTGTCTTTTACAGGAATAAAACCACTAATTCATAGCCCCATAGCTTTCTATGATTATGCAAATTTCAAGTGTTTTACTTTTTGACAAAGTTACAAATGTACAGCTATGCGTAGGAACTATTTTGTTTAAAATATGGACTTCTTTCTTGTATGTTCTTTGTGACCGGGGCTGAGTCAGTGGTTCTTTACCTATTACACTATGTTAAACAATAAACGCATTACCAGAAAGTATAATAATTTTCAGAAATATTGTGCAAAAATTGTATATGTTCATAAGACCTTTTAAGTGCAAATTAGCGGTTTTGGATTAACAGTGATTTCAAGGGTCCTTTATATGCTGATTTAAGCGAGAATTTAGTGAATGCAAATGCCCATGATTTTAACTTCCGGTTTTATAATACCTTATACACTGAATTCAAAGAAGTGCTGTGGAGTCACCATTTATACAAACTTTGCATTGTGTTAACTTACTACTTACTAAGTTTTTTAAAAATGATATTTTTAGAATTCTGAATTGCATGTATATTAAAGGAATTATGTGGTTATGAATAATTACTTGTCAATGTACTATGATACATCTGTTGTTTTTTATGCCCCATTTATTATGCCCTATTTATGGGCATTATGTTTTTCGGTCTGTGCGTCCGTTCGTTCGTCCGTCAGTTCGTTCATCTGTCTGTCCCAGTTCAGGTTAAAGTTTTTAAGATAAAGTTTTTGGTCAAGGTAGTTTTTGAAAAAGTTGGAAGTCCAATCAACTTGAAACATAGTACACATGTTCCCTATGATATGATCTTTCTAATTTTAATATGGACACATTCTTGTTTATTTGAATTATTAAAGGCAAATATTATATTAAAATAACATGTTTGACTAAATCAAAAGCAATAATTTCAGGTTTTCAATTGTGTGATACAAAAACAGGTAAGAAATTACCTCCCCTGCTTTCTGTTGCATCATGCATTGCTTTGCTCTCTAGATTAGCCCTGTCATGCCTGTACATACTTTGAACTGGTCATTTTATTCTTCGTTTATATAAAATTAACGAATTATACTGTATTGTATTTGAATATTGGTTGACGTCAATTGTCAATTTTACTTTTGTACATTTTAGTTTTTCAAGCAAAAAATATATCATAAAGTTTAACTAGAGAATAGATACAATTTGTATTTTTGTAACTGTAAAATGAAGAATGATTTAAAATTTCAGAAAAAATTTGCCAGGGTGTAATATCTGGTATAATACAAACTGCTGTAGACAAATGCTAGGGAATTCATGTTTATTAAATATAGTGTGAAAGCATTTTTCACATACCAGATTGAAATAAACATGGCATTAAAAATTTCACGCTAGAAATAAACATGTACAATGTACATAAGAAATATCAAACACCCTGACTGTCGTGTGTCAGCATAGATTATTATTAAAGTATGATTAGGGCAATTAGTTTCTTGGTGTAACACCGTGTCACACTGTGTTGGGAGATAAGTTGCTATCACAATAAGCAAAATGTAGTGAATCCTCCCAATTTCCTCCAAGAATTTAGGGAGGGATATTGGAGTTGCCTGGTGTGACCCCGGGAATTATTGTGGTGTTTGGAGTTTGGGATCCTATTCATTTTATTTGTACTGTAATTAAAAACTTCACGCTAGAAATAAACATGTAATTGAAAACTTTCCACTTGTAATACTGTTCACACAAGATGAATCTTGGTGATGAATTTCACTGTGATTCTGAATGGTGGTGAATGTGGGTGATCACTCTTAACATATTTCTCTGTGTATAACCCAAAGGCAATGTCATTAATTTCAGTAATACTATCTTGAATCACCAGCAATCAGGCAGTTTCACAGTGAATCACTATAACACCATTATGAGTAACATTTTACTGAATCACTTTGGGCATACTGTATATCTATGTTTAAAGTAACTGTTTATATGGAAAAAAAAGGTTTATAAGTACAAAGTAAAAGGAAAGCATTTGGAGAGGAGAAAATCAGGAGGACCATTCAATGCCAACAAAAAAGTAGTCACCCTACCACAGTGACATGCCTATATCTATCTTAATTCAGGAACTTCATGGGTTGTTGTCTCCATTTGTACCTTATGTTATTTTTTGTCTTTTTAAGAATTGGATATATTGTCAGATCATTGGAAGTCACTGGTAAAGTTATAAGGCCACCTTACATACAAATTGTACGATACAATCTTGTCTAGAACAGGGCTGGTTTAGAGCTTTACATATGGTAGAAACTTGTATTACATATACATGTACTTTACAATGTACACCCTTACATTGACATTATTTTTCTAAGTTAATGTTGAAAAAAATTGAATATTTACACATTTTTCATGCTAGTAATTTAACAAAATAAAAATTAAATTTGAGTCTAACATAATTGAGTTTTAAATGATATTTTCCATTTTAGATGCTGTAAGCACACAGGTGTATTCTACTATTCAGTCCACTGCTGGGCCAAAGGATAATTTGATTACTGAGGTAAAGAAACTAGGATTAACTGCACAAGCACCCCAAGTAGATAGTGAAATTCACAAATTTGAACCTTATTGGGTTGAAGTTGGACCAAAGAATAGACATTATGATACTCGTCGCCAATCAGTAGGAAGGTTGAGCAATTTAAAGCACAGAAACGACAAAGATCATAGCGATGAAAAAAAAACAAATGTTATTCAGGATGACTTAGCTTTGATAGAAAGAGAGAGAAAAAGCTCAGAACCTGTTGTGTCATCCCATGATGATCTTGTTGATTTTAGAAATGTAATAATGGTTCCACCAAAAACAGGAACAGAATCTGCATTGGAAAGTACAATGTTTGCAGCAGTTAACAGGCGTGGAAGAATGTTCAGAAAATATGAATTAACAGCCTCCAAGGATATACCTCAATTTAGTCGAGGTCAATTATTTGGATCAAAAAAGGGGCTTGGACATCGTAGATCAAGTTCTGCAAGTAATATTCCTCAGCTAGAGGGAGAAATATGGACAAAAGATGGACATCTAGATAAATACCATTCCACTGAAAATCAACTGGAGTCATTTCAAGAAAAAGTTGAACAGAAAAGTTCGGGTCTCAGAAGAACTAGTTCAACAGGTGCACTTCAGCGACTTGGAGCAGAGCATTCTTTTTTAGATGATCAGCAAGTAGAATACCATAAAGAAGGAGAGAAGGGTTCTGAAATCAAAAGACATGAAAGTGCTGATAGTACAGCTTCAAAGGGAGTTAGTCTTGATACATCTGCAGTCAAAAATAAACTACAAAGTATAGGAAAGAAAACAGTAGAATTGGCTACTACTAGCAAAGTTCGTCAGAATAAACGAGAGCGAAATATGTTTGCTCCTACATCTTTCTAAAGTTAAAACTTGAAAATATGAGGTAGGTAATAATACATATGAAACTTGAGCATTGTTGTTGAGGTTGTTTTACATTTTAACGTGATTCACACTTACACAAATGTAGATTTTGATATTATAAAGCATGTATTTTTTTTTTAAAAGCAGTTTTACTTTGCTTTAGTAAAGTTAAGACATTTATGATTTAAAGTATGATTTACCCAATAATCTGAAACAAATGTGAATAATTCAATATCTTCTAAAGAGAGGTGTTTTCACCATCTTGCTTAAACTCATTCCTTGCAAAAAATTGTTAAATGTTTTGATTGGCCAATAATTAATGTTGTCATGAACTGATCTGAAAATATTGTTTCAAATAACATATCATTTGAGAATAAAATGGGTGTTGTTTTCTAATTGTTCAAAACCGCTTGTCTTTCAAATATGTTCAAGTTTTTAATACATGAAGGTTTTTTTTTGTACATTTTTTTTTAAAGTATTCTGCTATCTTTAATATTGTATGCTCCTTTGCTAGTCTTGTAAGTTAGTTCTAAATTTAGAGCCAGAGGTTTGAGATTGGTCTTCAGAGGTAAAAGAATATTTGATAAATATTGAGGAAAATTTCCCTCCAATATTGAAGAGTTTACACCTATGGGGATTATGAGAGCTAATGTAAAATAAAAAGTAATACCAAGCAATCAATACATGTTCACGTAAGTTTGGTTTGTTGGCTTACAAGTTTTTGGGAGATTGTTTAAGCACCACAGTTAAAATTGACTCATACAGATATGACATAAGAGTAAGTTTTAGTCTGTTTATAGAGAAAAACTGTGATTTGAAGAATAAATGATATAATTATTGTTTCGATTTGAACTGCAATTACACAATAAAATTTCATAAAACAAACTTTGCAAGCAAACTTATCAAACTTTTGTTGAGCCTTCTATTGTTGAAGAACTCTATTCTTTACTGATAAGACCATATTAGTACAAATAGATGAGAAATCTGAATTAAATGTTTCTTTGATATACATTTAGTATGTCTGGTATGTAGACAAGTTATTATTTTTCAAACTTCCACTCTCATGACTATATTACCAGGGAAGTAGGGATCATTTTCAGTGTAACCATTCCTTATTAGTCCCCTACTGACGAAGTCGAAGAGGACTTTAGGTTTGCACTCCGTCTGTTTGTCTGTCTGTCTGTCCATCCGTCAGTCCGGCAAATCAGTTTTCCACACTTTTTTTCTTTGTGCTTGAAAATATTGATTTGATATTTGGTATATTGTTTTATTATGACAAGTTACAGATCAAGTTCAAATTTTGTTTCGGTCAGAAGATTTTGTTCAGAGTTATGGTCCTTGGACTTAGAAAATTCACTCAAATAATCAGTTTTCCACACTTTTTTCGTCATGCTTGAAGATATTGGTTTGATAATTGGTATACAGTTTTATCATGACAAGTTATAGACCAAGTTCGAATTTTGTTTCGGTCTGAAGATTTTGTGCAGAGTTATGGTCCTTGGACTTAGAAAATTTACTTAAATAATCAGTTTTCCACACATTTTTTGTCATGCTTGAAGATATTAATTTGATATTTGTTATATAGTTTACGCCATGACAAGTTATAGATCAAGTTAGCATTTTGTTCCAGTACAATTAATTTTTAACTGTTAGGGGACTATGTATTGCCATGCAATACTCTCAGAATGCTTGTTTACAGTTTTGGTTTCCTCATGTTAAGTATGGCTGTGGTACATGTATGTTTACCAGGTATGAATATGTGTAGTGCTATATATTCCATTTTAAATTTCATATGTAAACGTTAGTGCTTGTGTTCAAAAATATGTTTTTATATTTTAATCAATTAACTTTTCATTCAATGACAAACCTATATAAGTATAGTACTTTGTTATTTCATATTTTACAATCATGTGTGCAATTAGTTTTTACGGGATAAAATTCAGGTGTATATTATTATAAAGTTTACAAAAGGACTAAAAGAAAACAGTGTGTTATCAGAAATGATTATCTTCAAATTTTTACATGTGAAAGTGTGTTATTGAATGTGTAAGAAATTGTTGTTTACTTTTTTGAAAAATTGTTCTCTATTTTGTCTATATACAAATCCTTGATATTTATAATGTGTTTTTTTCGTTGGTTACAGGAATAACTTGGGAATGTTTTGAATTAATTGGTAATCCAGTATTTATATTGACTTGTGCTGTTGATAAAATAAAAATACTTGCATCATTTGTCTTTTATATGCAAAATGTAATAAACCCAAGATTATATACATATGAGAAAATAATTCACATAAATGTTACAATGTATTTTTATATGTCTTGTTCAATGTAGTTCAATTCAATTCAATTTGTCATTTTTTTTATATTTAGTGTACAATGAAACAAAGGCGAGAAAATTATACATGTACAATGTAATTATATTATGAGTGTTTCTGATCTTCATATTGGAAATGCATTCTCATCCATCATATATGTAGTTGCATTAAGTGCCATACTTGGGCCTATAAAATAAATTATTACAAAAAGTATATGAATTTTGTAGTATAATGGTACATAAATATAATCAAAAGTTCAACTTTGTAAGGTCTTTCATGTTCCATGAATATTCATCTAGACTTGAGTGCCAAACTACAGGACAACTTCAATTGTGTTTTAAACATTAAGTTTTGACATGTATTTTTGATTGAGTTACATGTACATGAGGAATATATTCAAAAACTTCTAACACATTTGTTTGAGAAGTGTTATTCATATAGATGATTTAGTTGATTGTTCAGTTAGCTATTGCAGGCACTGTATATTCAATAAAAAGAACATTATTCAATATTTTTATTTCAGACAAAAAATACATATGTGAAATAAAAACCTGATTATACAATGTCAAAGAATTGTTGAATTTACCAATATTAGCCAGTGTCATCAACAGCATAATTTGTATTCATTTAATTTCTGTTTTTTGGCATAAGGCTGTTCCAATATTGATTATTGTGCGGGGATGGGTGGCACTCAAATTAGGTAATTTTGGGTTGTCGTGACTTCCTTAAAATTTTATAAGAATTGTATCTAAACTTTAAATTTTATATTGTGGCTGGTTGGGGTCTCAAAGAAAGTGCCTCCCCCACCCCACCTCCATGCGATTAATTCTTGTACATCCCTTATATGATACCTATTCACACCATATTTTTTTCTGGTAGTGAAGTTGTTACAAATGATCACACTTACATGTAGATATGTTTTATGAATGTTATAGTAATCCATGATATTATATGAAACCAAAGATCAATCATCAGGTGTTAAAAAATGGTCCAAATTGTCAAATGTACATTCATCTTTATCATGTGTAAACAAAAATGTCTCAACTGGTAACAGTAAGAATTCACAAATCTTACATTGGTATGTGCCATTTGGAAACATTATGTCCCTTGTTAACAAAGGAAATTCTATAGTGGACATAACTTTAAATCTATTTATAAAAAAAACTCTCCATTTATTCCAGTAACTATTTTTATAAGCTGGAGTAAATATCTTTTTGTTTTTTGGAGACTTGTTCATACCGTTTATGAAAGTTGTTTTTAATGTTTATTTTGCCTTGTTTATGATGTAACCAAATTTTCATCGATTATGACTGTTTTTATGAAAGTATATGATCTGTATTGCATATTTTTATTTATAAATGTACACATGTATTTATTTACATTTTTGAATGTAAAAGATTGTATAAAAATGTCAAACCTCATAATATTTTTGATTCTTTATTTACATACATGTATATAAAACAGACATCAGATCTAGCTTTAAAGCATTAAATGTTTTCACTGTCTCATTTGTTTACCTGGTCTTTTGAGATCTCATTTGTTCACAATGCCTACTGAGAGTTAATAGTTTGTCAAATTTGGTTGAAGTGTCTATCATACAATTCTATAGGGGTCAAATAATTTGTTGAACTTGAAATATCTTGGTTACTGGCCTTAAAAAAATTGACACAAACCAGTTAATCAAGTGCCATTTTCCAGTATTACTAATATCAGAAAACTTCTGTCAAAAGGCAGTTTTTTTTTCTCTCCCAACATTATTGGAACTAAGGAACGGTGATCTATAGTTTTTAATTTCTTGTGTCATTTGGTCTCTTGTGGAGAGTTGTCTCATTAGCAATCTTACCACATCTTCTTATTTCTATATAAATAGAAAAACTTTAGATAGATTTTTGTGTCTTAGGCAATAGGGATATTCTTTCACATATTCCTAACTCCACCTGAACTTAATATAAAAATAAGGAGATGTGGTATGATTGCCAATGAGACAACTATCCACCAAAGTTCAAATGAAGTGGATGTAAGCAATTTGGCAACTGTATGGCCATCAACAATGATAAAAAAACCATACTGTTTAGTCGGCTATAAAAGGCACCGACATGAAAAATATGAAACAATTCAATTGGCAAAACTAACAGCCTAAATTATAACAAAACAATTTAGGAAAAAAAACAAACAAATATGGCAAACATGAACCAACAACAACCACTGAACTACAGGCTCCTGGCTTGGGACAGGCACATGTTTGTGAGCAATCGGCCCTCGCCTAACCTGGTTCAGTTGTGTAACAGTACAACACAAGAACAAACTATAAAAATCAGTTTAAAAAGGCTTAACTCATCAGATTGATACAAAGAAAAACATCAAACAAAAACTCAGATGCGGCAGCGTATATATCCATCCCTCATCCCTTAGAGTCCAGCTGATTCGTGCGTATTTTTGGAAGAATTGTGGTTTTGATGATAAAAGCATGAAACTCTGCACAATAGTAGATTATATTTGATAGTCAATCTAAGCTATGGACCCACTCTGAAAAATCCAATATGGCGGCTATTTTCAAGATGTCTGCCAATCAGTCTAAATTTCACAACCATGTCTAATTAAAAGCAAATAATATTCAAACCAAATCTTTTAAAAACATATAAAATGTAATCCAACATTTCTAGTGAGTCATGACAGTCATTATATTAGACTTAATTTTTTTATGGCGAAAAATTTCAAAATGGCCACCAAAACGTGAAAATGAACAAACTAAGATAAGGCTTTCCTTATATTCTATGGAATTGCAATTTGCAGTTCATATAATATGTAGAGATTGTATTTCCATGATACATGGACGCTGCTTGCAAGACAATTTAATCAAAGACCCCATAAATGGAAATATTCGAACTTTTTCAGGACGCCATCAGGATTTGTTTGGCCGTTAGTCACAAATGATAATTGATATGTTTTACTTCTCCTTGCCTCAATCCTTGATATTGGTAACATTACGATGATCAATAAAAACGACATATGACCAAATTTCCACTTGCAAACAGTAGTTAGCCAGAAACTACACTCCCTCCCGAAACACCTGAATACCCCTAGTTTAAATGAAAAGGGACATGTGTTGTTTATGGTTTCAATGTTGTGTTATTTGTTCTTTATTTTTTATACGACCGCAAAAAATTTTTTGTGGTAGGTTATTGGTATGACGTTGGCTTTGTCGTCGTCGTCGTCGTCGTCGTCGTCCGAAGACACATTAGTTTTTGCACTCAAAACTTTAGTTTAAGTGAATGGATCTCAATGAAATTTAACCATAAGGTTCAATACCACAAAAGGAAGGTGGGGATTGATTTTGGGGGTTATGGTACCCACAGTTAAGGAATTAGGGGCCAAAAATTAGCATTTTTGTAACTTCCAGACATAACTTGTGTGTAAGTGTATGGATCTCTCTGACATTGTACCACAAGGTTCCATATCACAAAGGGAATGCTGGGATTGATTTTGGGGGTAATTGCCTCCAAATTTTAGGAATTAGGGGCAAAAAACAAGCATTTTTCTGGTTTCATGACAATAACTTGTGTGTAAGTGTATGGATCTTTATGAAATTGTACTACAAGGTTCCACATCACAAAGGGAAAGCTGGAATTGAGTTTGGGGGTAATTGCCCGAAAAGTTTAGGAATAAGGGGCCAAAAAGGGGCCAAAAATAAGCATTTTTTTAGTTTCTAGACAATAACTTGTGTTCAAATGTATGGATCTCTCTGAAATTGTACTGCAAGGTACCATCCACAAAGGGAAGGCTGGGATTGATTTTGGGGGTTATTCCCTCAAAATTTTAGAAATTAGGGGCCATAAAATGGCAAAAAAACAAGCATTTTTCTAGTTTCAGGACAATAACTTGTGTGTAAGTGTATGGATCTTTATGAAATTGTACTGCAAGGTTCCATATCACAAAGGGAAAGCTAGGTTTGAGTTTGGGGGTAATTGCCCTAAACGTTTAGAAATTTGGGGCCAAAAAGGGGCCAAAAACAAGCATTTTTTCTAGTTTCCCGACAATAACTTGTGTTCAAGTGTATGGATCTCTCTGAAATTGTGTCAAATATTTAATTACAATCCAAATTCAGTGCTGTATCAAGCTTGAATGTTGTGTCCATACTTACCCAAACTGATCAGGGTTCGACCTCTGCGGTCGTATCAAGCTGCGCCCCAGCGGAGCATTTTATTAATGTATGTGTTGTCAACCAGTGAAAGTCTCGTTTATCCATCGTACAGTCATGGGAAACCTTGTTTCATTTCAAACGTTCACATTCGGTCAATTTTTATTTAATTTACATGTACCAATGGTTTTTACATGTTTTATGTTTTGTGATTCTAAGGGTTACAAGGAGACATTCATAAATCAATTATTATATGATATATGTATAATTACTGGATATGACTCATTAATCTTTTTAAACAAGAGCACCTAGGCAGGTGTCACTTGTTGAACAAGAACTGCTGACCTTTCTTTAGCACCTGAAATCATCCTCGGTTTTTAGTTGGGTTGGTGTTGCTCAAGTTTTAGATTTTTTTGTAGTGATTTCTTGATTGCTGTTAGTCCATTTTGCGTTTTTTTTATCCATTTTCTTATCTGGTTTTGTTTTATTGATGATTTTTGATTGCCTATGTATCTTCTTCTTCCTTTTTTATCATCTAAACAACATGTTTTCAATGTAGTTTTCAAAATGTTTCTTAAGGACAGTTCATTTAGTCTTTACATAACATCATTGTCCTTGCGCAACTTCATCTACCGTGACATTCGTTTTATACCTGTCAACCACATTTTATTAGCTCATTACAAAATGCTGATACCTTTGTGATACCTTTGTCATAAATGTCCATATGGCATATGCCATCCACATTAATTCGAAGTAGAACTCTGGGTAAAAGGGCGAACCATTCCCCGCCTTAAGCTTTCACATGCTTTGAGAAGGTTTTGTGTTTGCTTTTAACACGTTCCTGATGTAGAACATCGTGTGGTTTACTTGATCACGTTAAAGGTGGATTGAAATTTGTTAATTACTATGGCCATTTCTGAACAAAATACCAATAAATGCTGTAGTTGTGCGATATTTATTGTCAATCTGATTGCCCCATCTTCTCCTTTTACAAGACTAGTGTGTAATTCTACGCATGTTACAGACCAGTTCTGGATAAGTGGACTCTCAATTTCCCTCTTGTTACTCAACTCTTTGAATGTTACACATGTTCTCATCAGGGTCTCGTTATTCAGTAAAAAATATGTCAGGATCTTTGCATAAGAATGAGAAGTACATCTACTGTAACTTCATAGAAATGTCTTGTTCATGATGCACGAAAGCCTCTAAACAGAATCTGCTGTTCATGAAGTACTATGTTTCCTTGATTAAACACTTGTTCAACCACTGCTTTCTAACCAATCACATAAGATTCCCAACGATGCAATTTCTATATGAAGACCTAACACAAAAAACATTCTTTGTTCTGCTATAAATATGTTTGCCCAGTTCCACTATTTCGCTTTTGCACAAGCCAAAAAAAAATAGATTAATCACAAGTGATAATTGATACATGTCTCGGAAAAAATAACACATTGTTGAATTGTATTCATGGAATGTCAAATCGTTGTGATAGATTTGATCTCTTCCTGAAACATTGGTCAATTTGGACAGATATATAAGGGCGGATAACCATTTGTCTTGGCTCTTCATTCGTGGACTGATGTCCGGACATATTTAATGTTTTCAAAATCATCTGCTTCAAGCCGTTTGTGTTATCTTGTTGTTACCTTATTTAAACCATGTAAGGATAGAGTTAAACAATTGACTCATTGTACCAGGTTGTCATATTATATGTATTTCTGGTTAGACAATTGACAAAGTGCGTGTCCATAAATAGGTAATTATAAGATTCAAGTATGAAACGCATTGTTATATTTCTTTAGTATTAAGGATATATTTTATTCTATAGTATATATATATATATACACTAAGTTACAGCAATACTAGGAATACGAACAGTTGTGCTGGCGAATAATATATTATAGGTGAAAGTACCAGAGATTATAAGGGAAATACATATATTTCAAAGCATAAGGTTATGAGGAATTTAGACTATAAATAAGAAGTTAGACTTAGAAGATGCTGAATATAACGATTTTTTAGCCTTAGTTTTACTCTTGTTGTTGTCAAATTTGTCCACAGCTGCTGTTGTAAAACCATCAGGATTCGAGGGAGGGACCACATATTCAATGTTGAATGTTTCAAAGATGGAATCTTCTAGTACTGTAGATAACTGGATAACTGGATCATTCATAAACGACAAACGTAAACTGTACATTTTGGTCATTTAGTACCTCCTTTCCTGGTTCTAGCATTCATAGAAGGCCTATATACATTAAGAGATGGGTTTAGTTCTGTTGAATA